ACTAGCTAAGTATTGTATTTATTTGTAAAATACCCAAACCAAATAGAAAATTACTAAAAAAAAAATAAATTCTTCATGTTCTTGAGTTGAATCTTTCATTTCTTGGATCTTGATGCATATTGATATTTGAAATTGATTGGGGGTTTGTTCTTTATGTTGAAATATATCAACTGAAGTTGATTTGAAGTGATTTGGGTGGCTACAAGTGAATTGAGAAGTTTCTTGTTCTTCAAGTTCATCATCTTTATAAGTGGGTTCATGAAAAAAAGTAAATTTGATCCATTTGAGTTTATTTGATTTACGAAATTGATGTTAAAAACCATTGAGATTTGATCTTAAGGTGATTCCCACGTGAAATATGAAGTTTGAAGGTATTTGAACATGATTTGGAATTTTAAAATCGAGCCTAAAGTGAAGAAGAAGAAGAAGAAGAAGAAGAAGAAGAAGAAGAAGAAGAAGAAGAAGGAGAAGGAGAAGGAGGAGGAGAAAGAGGGCTGAAATTATTTAAAAAGTGGGTACAAGTTAAAACTTTTAAAAAAATCGGTATAGGTTAAATGGGGGCGACCAAATAGGGCACCCCGTGTAATTTTTACCATTTTCTCTTGGGTTTACGTTTTTAATATATTTTCAGTTACCTTAATTTGTACTGACGTGACATCCTTATACAAGATGAGTGTGCAGCACGAGAAAAGGTCGTTCGAGATGATTTAGTTATATCTCATATGCCGATATCTAAATGCACCGGCTGATAAGTGTAAAACTATGACGATTGAATGTAATATTATATTATCCCGAAATTAAAAAAAAAATGTAATATTATAGAGGACAAAATAGACCTGAAAACATGAGAAAAAAATAGTGTGAAAATATCTATATTCTATCAGAGTGAGGGCGGATACACCTTGCCCAAGCAGTATTGCCTGGTATTGTTTTGTCGAATTTTTTACTATATATTGGGTATAAAATACAGTCAACCCTCTCTATAACAGTCTTGTTCTTTCCAATTTTTATTGGCTTTTATAGTGAATAGCTGTTATACACCTATAACAACATTTGACGTTTAAATATTTTTTGGCTGTTATAGATAAAAAAAATATCCAGAAA